AATGGACTACCACGCAATAATAGTTTTTTGCTTGTTTGTTTTTGCTTTTTAAGTTTTTGCTATAGAGCATATGTACTTGCCAGAGAAAAAGAGAGAGAGGGAAAGAAAGAGAAAGAAAGTGAGAAGTCACTCTCCAGTGGGGAGGACTATGTCATAATCCCTTTTCTTCTGTTCTCCTCTTGGGATTTTGGGTGCACACACATACACACTGGGCATCCTTTCCAAGTCACCAGATCAGGACTCAGCCCATGCAGTCAGCCATGTGGGATCTGTCTCCTTAACCACCATGACACCTGCTGGGTCAATATAGTATTTTCTGTACATGTCATTCAAACAAACATAAGACAGAAGACTTACTAATATTATTCCCTAGAATTTGGACTGCTAAAAGAAATTATTTCATTGTTTTACCTGTCTCAGTACCAGCAGGTGGAGTGGTGTTTAAGGCACTGAACTTCCACATGGCCAACTGTGGTTTAAGTCCTGGACCTGGTGGCTTGAAAATCACATTGGGCACATACCTGTGTGCACATGCTCAAAATCACAGGAGGAAAACAGAGGAGAGGAGATTGTGATGTGGCCATCCCCCCCCGGGGGGTGATTTCTCACTTTTCTTCTCACTATCTCTGTCTCTGTACTGTGAGCACATGTGCCCAATGGCAAAAATCTTAAAAAAAAAAAAAAAAAAAGGAAGCCAGTCTCAAGCCAGCTAGGCCAGCTAGTTGCATGGTGATTAAAATGGCTGGATCCCACATGTCCCATTGCACCACCTGAGTCCCGATTTGGAGGGCTTGAGAATATGTTCATGCATGCCAAAAAATACCAACAGGAGAATGGAGGTGAGGGATCTTGGTGTGGCCGTCACCCCTGAAGGTTGTTTCTCCCTTTCCCTTTCTGTCTATCTTCAGCCAGTGCATGTGCCCTACAGCAAATTAAGAAATATAAAACCCAGTCACTAAAGAGATAAAGTGAGCAATCTCCCAAGAGGTCTCTCTCAGAAGTTACGTACTTGGTACATAGCACAGCATTCTCAATGGTGCTTCCTCCCTCCGTCCCCATTTCTGGTACTTTACTTATGATTAATAATAAACCTCTCTAGATACCTATTTAAAACCATGCATAAGCTCCTAAAGGGCAAGAAGCATGTCTTTTATTTGTCCTTTCCATAAGGACAACATGGCATACCTGCTAAGAAACACTGTAACTTACCACCAATGACTTACTACTCGTGTCATGTTTAGGAATTTATCTTGAGCCCTTTGAGAGGCATCCAATAAGAAATGTAAAGTTTATAATTAAAAGAAAAAAATTCCCCAAATAATGTTTTTACAAGAGAAACATCATCCATGTGAATGTATAAAGAATGCTTCTGAACAGAATATTTAAAAATCATACAATGTATTACCCCCTAAGAAACTAAGATTGTGCCATCAGAAACCATGGCTCTGCTGGTGTAAAGACTACTTTCTTAAAATAGTTCATAAATTGAAGCATCCTGTTATTCGTTCATATTTATGAGTATACCCTATACCCAGAATATTTTGTTTCCTACAAATACTAATTTAACAGTTTCACTCATTAACAGCTCTTCTTGGGGGGAAAAAAGTTTTGAGTTTCGTTTTGGTCTTTGACCTTTGAGGCAGAAAAAGTTAAAGCTGACATGGTTAAATATGTTTTCTTTAAAAAGTGCAAGCGCTTACTAATCTTTAGGCTAGTTCCAAGATAAAAATCTTGAAATAAAAAACTTTATTCTGAAAAAGAGATGGTAACAAGACTAATAAGCATGAAATGTACCCTAACCCTGTCTTACAAAAATAAAATCTACAGCTATATTAATAGTCTCCCACTTTTGCACACAGACCTGAGATTCATTTAAAATATATGCTGTATACATGGTTTTGCGTGTGTATGCATACACCTCTGTAGTGATTTAGAGGCAAGGTATCATGATAATTTGAGGGTACTTTCCCTTCCTAAATTAAAAAGTTTCCAAAGTGCTGCTTTATAAAATTACCATAATTCATGAACTAAAAGGTATTATGTTCAAGGGAAGTTCCACAGTACAAGCGCCTGCCAGCCAAGCTGCCTAAAATTCATAAGCTGCAGAGATTAAATGCATCTTACAGTTGTTTTATGTAAAACAAAGGTAATGCACCCAGTAACTTTAATATGGCATCTATAAAATGGCCAGTCATCTACAACCCTCTGATATCTGAGACCACTACACACGATCTTAAATTCCCACTAGACATCTTATAAAACACATAGAGTTTTCCTTACCAAAACAATTAGGGGTACTATTTGAATTTTAAGTTTTTCGCTTTACAAAATGACTCACCATAGGATTGTCTTAAATAATCAGCTTTGCTAAAATCATTCTGTTTACAAAATATTCAAGATTTTTACTTATAAAAACAAAGTTTTCTCACAATTTTTCAAAAACCCATGCAGCATGGTAAAAGGAGATACACACGTACACTTCCTTGAGAATAAATAAATGCTTGTGACCCCAGAAGAACTTCACATATTTTGAATTCTTGATTGGTTAAAAAAAGTTTTTAAACAACTACTAGAGTTTAAGTGCTTGCTTTTATATTCATGGCTCTCTTGATAAAATAAAGATCAATGTAACTCTAAGCTAATGAACTGCAGGGAACAGAAACAAGCAATCTGGCAAGAACCAAGCAAAGCTCTGCGTAAAGGCTACCAGTAAAATATACCAGCACCACCCCTCCCCCACCCATTTAAGGTTTCAATTAAGATGGGGCCTAGTTTTACTCTTACATAGGGACAAAAAGAGAAAGCACAGAACTCCTGCTGAGAAGTATCTTCACAGGAGCAGCTCCAGAAATACTGCCAGGAGCCATTTCCTTCCCCCTCTGCTGACAGAGGTTCCTCTCTTTAGAGACAGGCGTATCTCCAGAGGTCCTGTTTAACCCCATATCTAAAGAAAGGAAGTCTCATCACATATCACCCAAACGGTGGCATTAAGTGGGGAAAACAATGGTTTTAAACACGCCATTAGGGTCAGTTATACTGCTTTTTATTTAAAAAAAAAAAAAAAAAGTGGGAGTCCCAGGTTCAATTCATCTTCATCTTTCAGTCTCTCCTATCAGATGCCTCATGAACTGGCTAAGCAGGATACAGTTACTTAACAAGGCACACATAATGTCTCAAATAAACGTAAGTGCGCCGACTGTGAGAAAGACTCCCAGAAAAAAAGATGACGCTTCAGCAAGCCCTCCAAAAGTTCTTGAGCCCACGGGAGAGGAAGAAAAAGCTAGTAGTGATTTCACCATTCTAACAGGCGAAGGAGTCAATGCAGTCCAGAGATACCACACCATCCCCAGAGACACTCAACTTTTGCCCTCATATATGATTACCTCTGTAAAGGACATAGTGGACGAATCTTTCACTCCAATATGAACTAGTGTATAAACCCAGGCACGAGGTTAAAAAATAATCAGTGAGAAGCTGATGCCTCTCTACAAGGCGCCCAAGAATGAAACAATCTCACTGTGTTAGGAATTACAAGACATCAAAGGTTAGATAATGGACAACAGGTGTCTTTGGAAAGGAACAAGTACTACTCAGTTGCCTCCTATTTTAGGATTTCCACTCTCCAAGCACTCTAATAACAATGACTTCTTCCCAGGGAAAGTCAGGACAAAAATTTAAGAGTTTTGCCATTTGATACGTATAATGAGCTCCTTGCTCTTTATTTTTCCACTTTAGATTTTTTGAAAATCCATCTAATAATACCAACATTGTCTGGGTAAAGTATGGTCCACGGCCAGATCATTCACTCTCCTGTGAACATTAAGCAACTAGGGATTTATTACCAAGAAATGCAAAAGAAAGGTATCTGAATACAAGTTACCTCCACATAAAATACTCAAATACAAACCCAGCAGTAGGTATCACATAACTGCTATATCAGCCAAAAGAGAAACTGTTTCTCTCACCATCATAACAGTTGAGCTCAATCTTTACAGTAACCGGATTCCAATGTCCTCAAAGAATAGTAATTCCAGACACAGGTTATAGGGCACTGAGTACCAGCCTCGAGTTCTGATTTCCCTAGCCGGTTACAAATTTACTACCTTTATTCGGGGGAAAGGAAACATCGAAAAGATACTTCAGCCTACTTAATAACCTCTTCCCTTTCCCCATTCCACAAAGACAACATATTCCAAAAATGGAGAATCCTTTCTTTCCCTGACAGAGGCCCCCTTTCCTATGGATTCACTGGGCAGGATTACTTCTCCCCAGCATGCATGCAGAGCCAGAAATCACTTCTGCTTTCACTCTTCTCGTAAAGAGGGTCCCCCAACACAGATGCACCTCTTCCTTTTCTGTATTAAGCAAATGATGCTTCGGGGCTTCTGGGTCTATCCACCACTGCAAAATGTTCAGAAGTGGAAGGAGTGAAGGGAAGTTGTCAGTTACTCTGAAGGATACTCCAGAGCCGTCTCCGAATTAAAAGTCAAGTCGGTGGGAGGGTGCCCCGTTCTTGAAGAGGGAATTGGGGTCCCTAACCTGAAAAGGAGCCTCTGTGCGGGAAAGAGCTGTCTCTACTCTGAAAGGCAGCTCGGTATGTGCAGGGGGAGGAAAGTCGTACCCTTAAGAGGGGTCTAGATCTAGAGGGGTGTCCCAGCCCTGAACAGGGGTCTGCAGGGGAGCCGTGACTCCGTGCTGAGGGGCGCACCAGGTGCCCGGCGTCTCCGAGAGGGGAAAGGGTTTCCACTCGGGGGAAGGAGGGCCCCCGCACAGAAGGGTGATCTGGAGGAAAGGAGGTCTGGCTCGGAGGAGGGCTGGGCATGGGGGAGGGGCTCCCAGTCCCGCGGAGTCCGCGGAGGGGCGGCAGCCTCCAGGGGAACATGTGCAGTGGAGCCGCGGCCGCCCGGAGGGGCAGGGTGGAGAGCAGGGCCTGGTTGTGTGCAGAGCGAACAAGATTCCGACCCAGCGCAGGAGACACAGGCGTCCCCAGCCGTACTCACCGAGGCTGCCGGCGAAACCGTCCATCTTGCGGGGAAAGCGCCGGGCTCGGGGCTCAGCGGGGCGGGCACTTCATTCAGCGGACCGACAGAGTGGCCAACGCTGAGCCTGACCCGCTCGATCTCGAGATCACCCGGCTCCGCTCCC